ATAGCTGAGTAACTATTAACTAACATCTAGTATAATAAATTAACAAGCTCATTAAGATAGGAAAATTGTATTTAAAAAAACCTAGAATCATAATTTATTAGTTTGTACGCCTATTAAATATTATGTAATGATTGATCATTGGTCTTAAGAGGACTTAACACTGGCATTTGTTGTCTCTATCTTACAAATGTGTAACTATCAAATTTATCCTCAGCAGATCAGAATTTTTTGATGATAGTTCAGTTTTAAAGTAAGTTATGAGCATTCTAATTTATACTATTTTATACATGCAAAACTTGCTAAAAAATTGTAATATTGTAAAAAACCTACATACAAACACAGATAGTGTACTTGCCATCAAGTTCCATAAGAGATTGATTCACTGTAATTTTTAAACAAAGCTACACATGATCTGCAAATAGTAAATTTGGTATGTTAAGTAATGTRTCAAAAGTTAGACAATAATGACTACTATGTTAGGTATTTGTGTAGCAGGTGATCGACAGCCTCTTTTTAGGTGTATCAGGTGATATACTATATAATTACCTATTGGCTATTAATATATTATACACATATTATCGCAGCCCGCAGTGGGACAATATTGCGACAACAATTAATGACATTTTTTATAATATAACTACAAGTCATAAGCAATGCTGGATAGGTTAGTGAGAAACGCCAAATTGTRAAAAATGTGATCCTGAAACAAACATAGTGACCAGAAAAAACGACTGGCTTTTGGTGAACAAAATACTTTTTAACATTTTTAAATGATACTAAAAATGTTCACTGTAATTGAAATTATTATTATATTTGGTTAATTATTTTTAATTTTTATATTTGATGAATATTTGTATATGACTTACTCGTAGTAAAAATATTTGCAGATCACTCTACCCCCCGTAGACCACCTGCGACACGAATGCCCTATGTTATTTAAATTATATTTATACAACCATAATGAACTATAAAAATGTCAAATTACCAATTTTGTTTTAATAAACTATATGAAGATATACAATACTATACATTCTTAATTRAATATWTTTTACACCTATCTAAATGATAGAAAATAACAATTTATTTTAATAAAAGAAAAATATTTCTAGTTAGCTGGTACCTCYGACGATCAAAAATGAAAAATGAAAAGTTGCTTTTAAAACGTACTGTAATAGATCTTAATGATCTCACTGCCGTGTTCTGAAATTATGAATACCTTCTGTATATCTTACAAAAGAAACAAAATACAAGCAACATACTACATACCACAAATAAAAAAATCCGTTTAAGAACTTATTGACTGGTATTGACTGCACACTCAGACGAACAACTCTGATCGTAGATTTGTAGCATAATAGGCAGAAGACACCGTGAACACGTCTCGACTCTCGACGCTAACGAGAGCATTAGAATATTAGAAATCGTTTATCTTTTTGTTGGAATTTATACCTACGGGGCAATAGGTCAGTACTTCAGTAGTGGCATCGTTCCATTACGATCTAATGTAAATAATGTTATATTTCATTCAGGCTCGCTTTCTATAATCTGCTACGTTATCAATTGTGATATGATATTATTTGACCAATGCCATCACTTCCCTCTTAAATTTTAATTTTAGGTTAAGAATGTTAAGATAACAAACTTAAATTGTAAAGAAATTACAAAATAGTAAATACAAATTACAAATTTACAATATTATAAAAACATTACTTTTTTGATTGAAGAGTCGAGTGTTATTGTCTTATTGAGTCTTGAGTATTGATACTTATGGTCTCTGATACGATTCGATCTACAGTGTTTACTAACCATTAACTAACTGCTTGTTGCTCACTCGGTTACTCACTTGGCAAATTGTAATTTGTCACTTTCACGTTTTGTCAGTTGTTCTTTGTCACGTCTCGTCTGTCCATTGTTCACCCTTAAATAGCAAAACACTTCTATAGGATTGACTTCTCCATTGAAAAAATATTCTTCACTGTTGAGTTTTGCGAACTATCTCTTTTGCTAGGCTCTTTATAATATTTTTCTTTATAGTTATTAGTTACCACTTTTACATGCTAGGTACTACTACCTGTGTGGTTAGTTCAAGTGGACCATTATTTAAATTGTTTAGTGACGAATAAATAGACGATTTTTTAAATTTCGATCAAACTTCTAAATTATAATGAACAGTAACTATAAAGTTTGCMACACCATTTCTGATGTGAAATCGGTGATTTCGTCTGAAAATAATTCTTTTGATGTTCACATTGAATCAGATTTACCCGAAACAACGAAAACTGAGAAATGTATTTTGGGAATTGACGAAGCTGGCCGTGGTCCTGTCCTTGGTATGTATGAAAAAAAAATACAAATATATCCAAGTATAGTGAGCAGGTATGGTAATTAGTTTTCATTTCAAGTTTCAACTAGATAATATCTAGACTTTAGATATAATACCTAATAATACCTACAGTATGATTATCTCAAAAAAAAATATRCCTAATTTTYAATTTTAACTACCTACTATTCTAGGTATAACTGTATCTTACATTTGTAGACCATGTCTTAGTCATTGTACATAATATATTAGATATTTCAATTCATATAAAATAATTTCTACATTCTTATAGGTTATAAATACATTAAACTATACTAAACAGTATTCATTGCTCATAAAGTGGTAAACAGTTATACTTAATACCCGACTTAATATTTTCTTAACAATACAGTTCAAACCAATCACCTAAGATATTAGTAGGTACAGTTTAAAATGGGTTGTTAATACCCATCTTAAAAAAATGTGTCATTATTTCTCTGTTGTTGTTAAAATATGCGTTTTTATCTTATATAAATTTTCAAGTCGATACTGTTGATTTTTACCTATGTATGTTAAATTTAGTTCAAAAATAATTAATTCTAATATGTTATAATCATCTTCATATACTTGATGTTAACTTTACAATATACCATTGATTGAAATTCTATTTATTTTTTAATACATTTTTATACCTGCTATTTTGAATTTTATTTAGTAATGTTTTTGTTTCTAGGTCCAATGGTATATGGTACATCTTACTGTTCAGCAGATAATCAAGCTATTCTGAAGACATTGGGATGCGCTGATTCTAAAGTTTTGTCTGAACAAGCTAGAGATGATATTTTTGATGAAATAACCAAACAATCTGAAATACTTGGGTGGGCTGTACACATCATATCACCAACTACAATTAGCAATTGTAGCTTTAGGAGGTATGTGTATGAGTTGAAATGATTTTTTTATTTTTGTGCCAATGGCATGCA